ATTTATAAGTTGTTTGCATTTGTTTCTAGAATTAAAATATTTTATCACTTAAATAATAATAATAATATTTGTTTGATATTATAAAATAAGACCAAATTAATTATTGTACTTTTATTTATTATAATGAAAAATAATTACAATTCTAACTTAACTAAAAACTATCCTAATATTTAATGAGACATTCAAACGTAATAATAAATTATACAATGAAATTAATGTATCGAATAGAAAATCATTAAAGTTTAGGTTTAGTCACTTATTACATTCTCACTTGGGGGGAGGGGGTGTCGGCCAAAGCAACCTTTTGCGAACGAGGGGAGGGGAGGGGTAGAGACCTTAAGAACGTTCGCATTTAAACAATTTAATGCGTGATTAAGGATTAATTTTTGCCAAAAACCTTTTAATAACAACGGTTTGATGACAAATTTTTAATAAATTTATTACTTTTAAATCGAAATAGTTTTATTTCCAGTTCTTGAAATATTTCTTACAATATGGGTTACAATTTGTTAGGGGTGAGGTGTAGGTTAGGGACATGCGAACAATTGCAAACATAAGGGGGAGGGGGTCTAGATTTTTGAAAAAGTGCCCACGTAATATGTGAACGTCCCCTTATTACAAAATTGAATTAATTATTGTTTTATTAGTTCTTTAATAAATTATTTATTATATAAATATTTATTTAAACAAATACTTGTAAAAGTAATACGAAAATTCCATAACAATTTTAATAGGATTAACAAAATAATCTAAAAATAATATTGGAATTAATGGTTTAAAAAAATGTAAGTTTGATTATGAATTTGGCAATTGTTTTGCCTCGTCATAAGTCGGCGGCACTTCATTGTTGGATATGATTGACTCTCTTATCTTGTCTTCGTCTTCAATGATAGGTCTGACGGCTTGTGATGAGAAAAATGATTGCCTTAACGCCAGAGAGTCTTCGCTTAAACTAATATTACGCTCTCTTTGTCTGCCATTCATATCAATGTCGGCGACGGAAGGGTTGGACAATACCATCGATTCCAGGCTCTCATCGGTCTCGTCGTGCGGTCGTTGTCTTCGCTTCACTTTTCTAATCATGACATATAAATTGCATTGTTTTCATCAATTAATTCCCTTATTATATGAGTTATAAATAATTTTTTAAATGCTATTTAAGAATAAAACAGTTATTTAAGGAATAAAATATTGCCTAAAGAATAGCATAAATAGGGATTATACATGTAACATATAACGTGATAAATGTCTTAAATACCTATTTTTAATAGTAATAAATGCTGTAATGAATACTAAAATGGAAACAATGATAACAACGATAATGATTTGAATGCCGTGATAATCATAATACCAAACAATCACTGCTATTACTATTAATACAATTACTTCTGTCAACAAAAATAATTTACTCCACATTTGTCTCACAGAATACTATTATAATTATTAATTCATTTCACATTTTATTCAGTTTCCACACAAATACAGAATACAATATGTATTTATGTTTGCGTTTTAACGATAATAATTATTATTATGTTATTTATAGTATTTATTAATATTTAGTAAATTTAACTGTATTTTTGCAGATCTTTCTCACAAATGGCTTGAATTTAGTTTCTATGACTTCAACTCATTTATCGTTATTTACACTTAAATTTAATAAAAGTGTTGTCAACGGTATATATGATTGCATTTGTAGTTATTGTCACTTAAGTTATTAGACTTTAGATAAGGTTTCAAACATAAAAAGATGAGATCCAATGCACGCATAGAATAATATTATATTATTGTTGTTAAGGTATTTGTTTTCAATTCAGTTCCTGTAAATAAAAAAGTTGTCTAAAACTCATATAATTTAAACGATTAATATTTATAACGCTATATTTATTTCTCACAACAAATAACTTATTTTTCAAAATAAACATTTTTTAATTAATTAATTTTATTAAAAGAATTTATATCTCGATAAAACATTATTAATACTTACAAATGCAATGATATTTTAATGTATTAGTTTTTATACAAGACTCCAAGATTTTTAATGATAATTAAGTCCAAGTTATGATAATTTTATACATACAGAGATGTAAGTCAGAAATATTGTCAAAACAAAGATTAGTTTATTTGCATTTATAATATGGAGTCGTGTTTTGCATTGAATTTCATAAACTAATTGGACTTTAATCTCACTTTTATAACATTTGTTTAAATGTTCGCTAGTTTTAAAATACAAGTAATACATGTGTTATAATGATTATACAATATAATATAATGCATATTATTTAATATTATATCATTTAATATAGCATTTTTAAATATTCTTGCACTTAATATACACAATAGAAATATAACGCTTGTGGAACATAATCAGCACAATTAGTATGAGCTAATTTGTAGTAATTGTCTTACCAATTAATTTTAAATATGGTATGGAAATGAAACTGTGTTTATTCAGCTACAAAATGCTGCAAACTATTTGTCTCTATCTATTTTGGATCCGATGTAGTTTGTATTGAATGAGTTATGTTAATAACAGATTTATTATTATTATAACTATTATTATTATAACTTATAAATATAAATATTATTATAACTTATTAACGGGAGAGCGGGGGGAGCTGGCTAGTGATTATACAATATAATATAATGCATATTATTTAATATTATATCATTTAATATAGCATTTTTAAATATTCTTGCACTTAATATACACAATAGAAATATAGTTTAAAATGCAAATAAAATTCTATAATATTTGCCTCACATTATAGATATAATTTCATTTATAATTCACATAATAATTGTTGTGAATATTCCTCAAAACAATCACTAGCCTATTGAATTACAAAAAAGTGCAATTATGTTTTTAAACAATTATTTAACTATAAAAATGTTTAGAACTATTTTGTTATTTTACTATGAAGTGTCATGGTATGTTTAGTGCAGAATGTCTGCTGTTGTAGTACATTATGTACTGAATTATTGTGTATTGATATTAAAGTATAATATGAAATACCCATAGAACCCTAGTAGAAACTCATGTTAAACCTAATGAATGTTAAATGTTAAACCCCTCCCTAATTTTTACTCTCCCTACTATTTGAGACCCCAAACCTCAGTCGCATACCAGAGTTGGGTATATATTACACAGTTCTGGTCACCCAAAGTCTGTATATTCTTAACCCTTAAAGTTCTACCATTTGAGTGTTCACTCGAGTCTCCCCTAAGAGACTCCCTTTTTTAAGGCCAACTTTTTTGCTTATATTTTATATGTTTTAGTAATCAATAAATAATTTGCTTTACTTTTTTGTGTTCAATTGTTTGTGTGGTTTATACGAGAGAAGTACGGGTATCGAGGGGTGCGTGAAGTTACCCCCGACGGGTACTGTAAGTCTCCGGGCAAACTCAGGGTAAGTAAATGTATGTTCGCTTACTGTTAAGCTATTAATAAGGCACAATATATTCCCATTACAGTTATATTGTAATATTAACTATCATTTTCATTACGTTAAAAATGTTATCAATATTTAAACCAATATTTCATAATACAATTTAAATGATAAATATTATAAGATATTATCAATAATTGCCACTTAATAGTACTATTTATGCAATAAATGATCTCATGGTACAACATATATGAACCGGGGGTGTTATATGCGGTTCACAATTAGCGACCGAAGTGTTGATGTTGTTTTCGTTACGAAGGAATGGACATTATATTTGTTATAACTGTTTATTAATAATGTGTTGTTACGAATGGGTAACACACGAAGTGTTCCCTTCGGAGTCTAAAGTGACTCTAGTTATAATACATGGTTTGAGCGTTTCTTATATAGTCGAAGGGTGAGCTAAAGTACAATATAGTATGACTTATGCCTTCGTATAGATATACAGTAATTATAAGAGGTATTGAGAATATGATAATACAATGTGAATGGAATTATACTAATGTATACAATCATATGAAATAATGGAAAATAACAGGTAATGAGTATATTGCTATTAAGGGTCTCGCCAGCCCCGGTTCATATATATACACGTAAAGACATAACAGTTTGATTTTTAATTTGTTGAATAAAATCTCTCTCGATGGTTTAATCAAAAAGCTGTCTTCACAGAATGATTTTAGGGATAATGTAGACCAATTTACTAATTGAGATTATTTGTGTAACTATCATGGTTAATTAATTATTTCAATATCAAAAAAGTGAGATTTCCAAAATGTCTCCATAGAAAACCAATAGGAATTTATAAATAATTTTTTATTTTACTAATATAAAAATGATATTCAATGTTGATATTTATTATAAACTTTAATATTTTCCCAAATTTAATCAATAAAAAGAACAATGATCAACAATGACCAAGTTTTATAAGAGCATTACTATGCTGATATTTTGAAAAATTAATAGTAAAATAATAAATTAAGATGAGTTATTGTAACCAATGACCACGTTTCTCTATTCCATCATGTTATTTATTAATAAGTTCAAATTCTAATATTTGAATGCTGTTATTTTCTGTAATATAACTCTCTAAAAGCCATATACAAAGTATTATACAAAAATACTACATTTTTATATCGTTTGAAGCATTGAATCAAAATAAAGTTTCAACATTGATTTTTTTATACATCATTAGATTAACAATATTAATTTACATAAACTTAATATGGGATACCGTTATTTTTCAAAAATTAAAAGAAAGGTCTTGAAACCCTTGAAATAAATTTAATAACTTGAACAGTTTATAAATAACATAAATCGTACTAAATTTCTAATTTTTGGACTCTGAACTCGAGCATGATGAAAACGTGGTCATTGGTTACAATAACTAATCTTAATTTATTATTTTACTATTAATTTTCCAAAATATCAGCATAGTAATGCTCTTATATAACTTGGTCATTGTTGATCATTGTTCTTTTTATTGATTAAATTTGTGAAAATATTAAAGTTTATAATAAATATCAACATTGAATATCATTTTTATATTAGTAAAATAAAAAATTATTTATAAATTCCTATTGATTTTCTATGGAGACTTTTTTGGAAATCTCACTTTTTTGATA